TGTCTTACTGGGTCCTAACCAGTGAACTGTGGGAGGAAGTGATGCATTCACATCCCAGCCCAACCCACAGAAACCCACCTGCCTTCCTCCACCACCTCTCTCTCCTACTGCTGGCAAGAAAGGATACAGCACAGAGCTGCCAAGACCTGGTGAGTGGGGGCCAGAGCTACAGGACAGAAGGAGCCCATGGCCTGGACTCTGCAATTAACTGCTCCAGCAAGAAATAAACATCTACTGTATTGAGCCATAGGCTTTGGAGGTTGTTCTTTAACTCTTTAACTAGTTAAGGTTTCTAAATCTTCTTAGCTTTAATTTCTAAGACAGTGTATACTGACAGATGGAGTCCACATAAACAGAAGTTCTTTGGGGTCCTCAGTAATTTTTAAGACATAGAGTCTTAACAGAGGGTCTGAGATCACAAGATTTGAGAACTACTGATGGCCTCTAATGTCCCTCTAACACAACCTGAATCACTAAGAAAGAGGGGAGGCATGGAGGAAGTGCTGGTTTGCCCCATTTGTTTCCTGCGTAATTGCTGTAAGTCAGATGTTGATGCCATCTGGATACTCACTGAAGTGCCTGGACTTAAGATGTCCACCCAAGGGAAAGGAGAACAGGTGAAAAAGGAAGAGCCATAGCTGGGAGGACACAGGAAGGCCACTCGCACAGCCAGCACCCACCCAGGGCATTGCTGGTGTTATTAACAGCAATTAACTTACCTTAACTAATAAATTTAATAACCTTTAACTCTTTGGGCAAATGTTAGAAATGTGTGTTTTACAATGGTTAGTATCAAATTGCTTTTATAGAAAAGGACAATTGGTTGGACTTTAAAACCCAATTTGACTCTTTCCGCCAGGTGAGCCAAGCTACCAAAAGCCAACACCTCTTAGTGACAAGTAGAGAAGAAAAGTGTAGATATAAAAGGAAATAGAAGTTGCACTAACCCTCACCTACAGAATGATGCAACCTGGTAAAGAAGTAAATGTGAGGAGGGGTGTGAGGCGCTTACACAAGCGTGACTGGATTACAAGCCACAGGAGAATAGAGTTCAAGGGAAGCGTAGCCCAGGAGAAACAGCTTTGGTCTAAGAAGGCAAAAATAGCAACGAGCTCAAGGCTACATGAACAGCCTCTTTATTTAAAGACATTATGACCTTTATCCCCTTGTTCCACTACTCCCCTGGTCCTTCTGTGTTAACCCAGAATTTGTGAACCAAGACCTGACATGTTCCCAGCTCAAGTCCCACAGAGGAATTGGAACTACAAGACTTACCATTCTTAAATTCTGCAACTAGAAAGACACACTGCTCTTCTTCAGAACATGTCCAGGGCTTCTCATGACAGGAAGTTCCATTAGATGCATAACAAGCAAGGCACTCTGCATTGCTGGACACATTCTTCTGGGGAGGGTCTGGAACAGTCAGAGTCATTGCTCAGGACAGTGTTATCATACGAAACATGGGAGGAAGGGGATAGGCAAGCAAAGAAACCACCAAAGAGATCCTGAGAACGGAGCAATTGCATCCTTGGGAATCTCAGATCTAGCCTTGAAAACACCATGTCTCCTCAAAATATTTATTATACACAGCTCCACAGATCTGCCCTTACAGACTATCTAGTCTTCAAGAACTATGGCCATCAGTGTGTTGGGGTATAGACTGAGAAAGGTAAGATTTTGAGCTAAAACCAAACTATAGTCAACATCAACATTAGCCATCATGAACATTTGCCAACAAGTGGGTGACTGTTACCAAATCTTGCTCTGAACGAATAAACACAGGCCATTATTTAACATTATGACTAGAAGAAAAAAATGTATAATGAGACCAGCTCTGCTCTTAATTAACTGTGCTTTACGACCATGGCCAATAAACTTTGCCTTTTCAGCCACATTTTCTGTTTTTCAAAGAGAGCTTTGGTCTAGATCAGCAGGTCTCAAATCGTGGTCCAGGATATCCTGAGTCCCCGAGACCTTACGGGGAGTGCTGCAGGGCTCAAACCATCGTGGTCCAGGATGTCCTGAGTCCCTGAGACCTTACGGGGAGTGCTGCAGGGCTCACACCATCGTGGTCCAGGATGTCCTGAGTCCCTGAGACCTTACAGGGCTCAAACCATCATCATGATAATACTAAAATATTATTTACTTATTTCACTCTCTTTCTCTTGTGAACATAAAGTGGAGTTTTCCAGAGGCTCCATGGTGCGTGAGACTGTAACAGACTAAATGCACAAGTAAATATGAGACTCCAGCTGTCTTCTATTAAGTCAGAAACTAAAGAATTTGCAAAAAGTATAATAACAATGCCACCCTTCCCATTGTATATGTTTCTTTTGGAAAATATAGTTATATTAATGTTGATGTGTCATGGGTTTTGGTTATTTTGGC